CCAACTCGCACTTGGCCAGCGTGGTGGACTATGGCCTGATCTTCTTCACATGGAAGGAGCCTTGCCCAGCAGTTGGACGCTAAAAAGGGCTGAATAAACATATCAGACTAGCTTTCGGGCGTGGATACTCTCATATGTCGAATAATATTAAAGGTACTTTAAAAGCTAAAGTTACTATTTAATTTTTTTGATTTGTTATCACTTAAACAAATACTTCTGTAAAAATTCTTATTATATCTTGCAAATCTAATATTTATAACTTAAGTATTATTAATTATGGTTCAGAATGCTTAGTAGTTATTCATGTTTCTCATTATACGTTTGATATAACTAACTAGACTAACATCATCTTATATAAAAAAAAACATAAACATTCTTCACAGAAAACTGAGATTTATTATTCCATAGAGAAAAGTAAACTGTAGGCCTAAAACTGGAATTATCTTAACCGTTGTCAATCCCGCCGCCGCCCGGTCAGACGACTGTTGAACATCAAATCTAATATAATTCTGGGCATCGAACAAACAACGATATCGCCGACGATAAAAATGTTTTTCGCAAATATTGTGTAAAAATCTCCAAATCGTCAATCTGTAAAGAAAATAGAAGCCTGCCACTGTGTTACAGAATTGCAAATTGGCGTTCGCGGGAGAGCCCCGGGGCGGTGGATGTCCAACGTTAAATCATCTTTATACTGTTTTACTGTTGACCTTTTTTAGACTTTGTGAGCTTAAGTATCCGCAAAAAATGCTATTTTGATAAAAATCTACATTGGGAAATTTTGTTATGTCTCCTATTGAGCTTTTTGTGTATCATAAGTTTTGTTTGTGCTTTTAGGCTTCACGTTTAACGTAAAATATCAATTTTTAAAGTAATTAAAACATCTTTAAATGAAATAATTTGTTATTCCAAAGTTATTTATTGTCAAAAAATGCTACTACTAGCTTGCGCCCATGATCCATTGGAAATGGTTTTTGGTTCTAAATGTTTATATTTCTCACTTATAGCCAGCCTCGTTAAGAAGTGTTCTAATAAAGCTTTAGTACTTAAAATATTATATGGTTTTTACCAGCAAATATGTCCGCGTGTCCACGTGTTAATAATGCTGTTCTAAACGGTACACTTTCCAACGTAGAAAACAACACCCATAGTAACATACATACTATAAATAAAGTTTATAGGCTCGTTATCAATGAATTAAATAATTAATAAAATCGATTGGATAGTTCAGTTTGTTTATTACAAATAAATAATTTACTATATACCTTAGAATTCGTGTTGACAAATCCCATACTTTGTAATTGGTCAAAAACGTATATTTAACTTTTCAATATAAATACAGTATAAACGTTTTATTACGGTACCCAAAAATATATTTGAAAATAATATATAGATAGTAATGAAATTGTAAACAATCAATTTCAATGATAAAACTTCAATTTCTTTCTGCCCGCGGCTCAATTTTTACAACAGACTATATTTACTTATTTTATATGAGATTGAAATGTTATAACATAATATTCTGAAGTCAGAATATGTATAAAAAAAGTGATTATCTCTCTTACATTATGTATCTACATTCTTTATATAATAAATAGTCTAAAACAATATAGTACGTTTTCTCATCCGTTTGTCAAACGATTTGGGTGGAATTTTCGTTTTTTTTTTGTATAGTAGCTATTCACAAGCTTTAGTGTATCAATAAAAAAAAAATGAAAACAGTTTTTTTTAATTATATTTATACTATGTGCTTCGCTGAAATTTTCAAAAATTATTACGGTCTATTTTCGACCATTGGGCAAAAACTGGTAGATAAATGACAGCTGCAAATTCAAATAAAAACGTTATATTATAGTAGCGACAGTAGAAATTTTTAGTCAATTTCTGGTTCGACACAATTGAATTTGATCTTCGGGTAAATCAGGTTTCTGGGCACGGAGAGTGGTTGCCTTTGGACGTATTCCGCCTTAAGTGATAGATGCTAGCGTATTTCAAGAGTTCACTATGTTTGCAAAGCTTTGACAATAAATCTCATTACGTACAGACAACATCTTTGAAATTGTTTATTAGAATGGACGATAAGTTTTAATGGAGCAGTATGATTTATTTCTTGTGAGTTATTATTATTCATTTATGAATGCATTTTATGTTTAAAAAGTTTTTAGTTGTTATAAAAATGTGTTTTTTTATCTGTAGTCAATAATAGTTCTAAGTAACTACACTTATTGAATACGTCAAAAAAGCTACATATGTAACTGGAAATCAGCAATGATGAATTTAAAATAATGAGAGTGTTTTAAGCCTCCTAAGAACAACCTATTGATATTTTTATAATTTATTGTCTTATATAAATTATAAAAATACCAATAGGTTGTTCTTGCGTTGTTTATTTTTATCGATATCATTAATATCAATTCATTTGAAGTCTATTTTTGCTTAGTGGTAGTCGTCAGTAACAAGCGGACCGAAAGATCAATTTCTCTTCCAAAGGAATATGTGCCGCTGACATTGTATTATTTAAATATTGTTTAGATATTCCTCTTTTCACTTAATTTATTAAGATTATTATATAAAAATCATAGAATAGGATATAATTATTTAAAAAAAATGTTAGGTTGATGTAGAAGCTATAGTATATTAATCTACACAATCATTGTAAATAGGAAAGATTTGTAGTTTTGTTTGTCTGTAACGAATAAACTCAAAAACGACTGGACCGATTTAGATGAAATTTGGTAAGAAGATAGTTTGAAAACCTGGGAAGGACACTTTATTCACATTGACAGGATTTTTTATTCCGGAAATCTTCCCTTAAGGGGTTGTAAATGGGGATGAGTTTTTTATGGGGAATCAACCTAGGGACGAACTAGTACTACAAGTAAATAAAATGTTGTATAAAATACACAAACTTTTTTGTCAATCTGTCCATGAGGTTACTTTTGGTGTTGCGTCTTTAAGCGTAAAATAACAATAAGTACTTATTAATATGTATGTATAAATAAATATGTATAGAGTATCTTATAACTTGAGCCATCAACAAAGTCTTTGTCTCGACGCCCGTCGCGGGTTCAGATGAATCGTTTGAGGCTACTTAACGAGTCTTTGTACCGAGTTCTGGCGGTCGAAGGCCAATCGCTGCCGCAAATTGACTGCCGACGTCCTGGTATTTACTACTCAATACATATTCTATACAAATCATATAATATTTTTTGTTTTCCATTCACGAATTATATATTAAAATAGTATAAAAACTGGGCTGATGATTTATTTAAAAATGGGCAAAAATTCAGTAAGGCCTATAAAACCTTAGTTAGATCAGAGTCCTATAAAAGTGAAAACTTTTATATGTTTATATATTAATTGTTTGCAACTTCACGCTTAAACAGCTGTACTAATTTGGATGTAATACACTGATAAACTATGATGGAGTAAAACAAAGAAGTTGCGAAGATTAGTCGCTAGCATGGTTATCTATACATATAAATAAAATGGAAGTGTCTGTTTATAATGACGTAATAAAAGTTTTTTACTAAATGCATATGAAATTATATACGGTACTAATAAAAGTAACAAAATTTTTAAACTATTTATCTGTCTGTCTGTTAGTTCCGGCTATTCTCCGAAACGGCTTGACTGTTTTTGATGGTATTTTCACTGGTAGATAGCTGATGTTATAAAGAGTAACTTAGACTACTTAGATTTTATTTTAAATTTAAATTATAAAATATCCCAATAACCAATACAAAATATTAAATATAAGATACTTTGCCATGTTATACTCGAAGGGAAGCGACAGATTAGTTGCACTATAAATTTTTTTGCCAAAGCTAATTACTAAATTCGCACATTAGCAACATCTTGCGCTCGTACCTAAATAACGATTATTATAGTAGGAATAAGACCGTCAACCGTGTTTAGTTTGTGGAGGATATTATCATAGCAATTGAGATTATAGCTAGTGATAGCTCTTGCTTCGTTTTGGTGTAAACTGTAACACATACGTACGTACTTACATACATATTTACATGATTTGTATACATATATACATACATACATACATACATACATACATACATACATACATACATACATACATACATACATACATACATACATACATACATACATACATACATACATGCATGCATACATACATACATACATACATACATGGCTTATATGAGGTGTATATAATATAATGACATACTAGTAGTAACAAATTATTTATCCTACAGTTACCTTCAATTTATACTACATACAATGTTAGAAAGAATTACACCCGTGCATATATCATTTTATCATAATTTTCTCTTAACTGAAAAGGTATACTGAATTTAGTCACTTATTAGCAGAATTTATTCCATCCTTAGAGGTGGTTTTGTTTTAAATGTAGATGGTATAAGATATCGGTTAAAATATGTGCAATATGTACAACTCTAAATTCAATTACTAATAAATAAAACATCTCGCTCTTCTAAAACTTCTGATTAGCAAAATGTTAATATTATAATAGTATTAAAACTGCCTCCGTGGTGTAGTGGCTAGCATGTACGGCTGCACACCCGGAGGTCCTGGGTTCGAGTCCCGGGTCGGGCCAAGTTTAGTTATTGAGTCTTTCTGTATAAGTAAGTCTCAGTAACAGCCCGGAGTTGGAAAGTTGGCGGTGTTTCACCCCCGTGCCTCGGAGAGCACGTAAAGCCGTCGGTCCTGCGCCTTAACTCTCACTGGTCGTGTCGGGCAGTCGTCCCACCGGAACATGAGAGTGACAGGAATAGAGAGTGCACTCGTGTCTCGCTTTTCTAAAACTTCTGATTAGCAAAATGTTAATATTATAATAGTATTAAAAATGCATATGCGTTGATGTCACTAAATATATTTGACTAAAACTAACTATTCTAGAAAATAGAGATATAAAAAAATTTTTTAATTTTGTTCCAGATGAATCGATATGCAGATAAAACCCAATGGGACCTTAGTTATTGAGAAGACCTGATGCCACCATGAGCGGAAAACGCGGGCCCTTCAGGAGTTTCGCCATCAGCCTCATACAAATCATCACTATTATATGTCAAGGTAAATGCATATTATAGTAAATCTATATATTGTATGTGGTAGCTTAGTGTTATCATGCTCGCTTAGGAAACCGAGTGAGTCAAGTGGGTCTCGCACCTCTAATATTTTCATGAGCACATCATTTCCAACATGATAATCACTTGTCTTACGATGAACGAAAACATCGTGAGGAAACCTGCATGTCTGAGAGAACCTAGCAAGTTTTCGAAATACATGTAAAGTCTGCCAACCCGAACTTCTCCAGCATGATGGATTATGGCCTGCTCCCCCACGTATTGAAGGGAGGCCCAAGCGGCGTACGTAGGCGTTGTTCAATTCCAGTATATGTTAGTTTCATGTGCATGTTTATTATTATTTTGAAAACTCTCCAACATTTTTTTCAACATTTAATATTATTAGCATTATTTTTGCCTGACTGAATAGCTAAATACCTTAGGTAATTTTAAATGGTGATATTGTAGATTCAATGATAGCGCCTGAAAACCTCATTCTGAGCATTGGACAAAGCTTGGGCTTAGTGTTTATGGATAATAAAAATACCAAGACAAGCAAAGCTATAGACCATGACTAGTAATAAATAATATTAGCTTATAGCTTACGAATATGCTTTGGAGAACTTCTCCTTGGCAATTACGAGTATATATAGATAATAGATAATTGATTTCCAACACCGCACCCAACTTTAACTAGATTCAGGATTAATATTGTAAGCATCTTGAGTAAAAGAAGTCAATAATGTAAGTCATTAAATGATGTTAATTGCAGTCAGTATAACTATTTATTATACTTAAAATACCAAAATGAAATAAATGAATTAAAATTGTCTGTCTTGTCTTGGATCTGAATTTTTCGACTTCTGAAATCCAAAATATTATATAAAAGAGCACTAAAAATACGATTTATTGATGGTAGCTTTATATTATAGTGTATACCATAAAAGTGTAGGTATAAAATATTAATACACGTCACGTTGATTGCGAAATTCAAGACGTGAATTTAATGTACTGAATACATAAAGTTTTTCAATAGGTATAGTACTTAATAACGTATTAATATATCTTTTAAAATACTTAACATTCAAACTTATAGTTTTGTGACATGTAATAATGATGAAGTATTTACATTTGATGAAAACAAACGCCTTTGAAGTTTAAAATGAGATATTCTGAAACAAACAATAATCTGGAGACCGACGTGAGGCGACGATCATAAATGAAACTGTTAATGGGCTAACTAACTTTTCGAAATTACACGAAAACTTTTCAAATAAAACGAGCTCAAAGGGCGCAGAGTCTTAATGAAGACAATATTTTGAACGGTTGAAGTTCGGTAATTAAATCTTGGTTCATATCGTGTCTTTGATATCCTCTGTGTTGGATGTGGTGTCAATCAATTTAACTATAGTTTATAAGATTCGGGTTACTTCATAACTTTGTAGCTGATCTAATTCCACTAACTCAGCGACTAATTCTTGCGTTCGCATTGTTCATATTGGTTACTGAAATTAAATATTCTTCATATGTCTTAGTGTTAGCCTATTGGGTCAAATCTGGAACCCCTTTTTTTAACGTTGGGAAATGCATTTACGCACGAGGTGTGGGACTCACCGGCAAAGCCAGTACTACCCACTAAAACCCAACAAAGCCTTCCCCCGTCTTAATGCAGCGTCGCAGGATCGCTTGCGCATTCAACTACGACGCCCCGACGGCAGGTCTGCCGAAGCAGACCACAACAACCACGGGGTTGCTCCAAGGTCCACTCTGCTATCAGAGAAGTACCAGGAGCAATCCGCATGGAACACCGCCCTCCGAAGAGTGCCACCTCCCACCGCCCACCGAAGTGGGCCACCTCCCTGTGCGTTTCTTGGCTTCGCGCCCGGTTGGGTTGCCGGGCACTACTGAGCCCCCAACCACGACAAGGTGAACGCACGTTGGGGGGAAATCTGGAACCCCTGAGTAAGTTAGTATCACAGGTATCATTGCTTCTTAATACAGTAAAGGATAACATTGTAAGAAAACCTGCATGACTGCTCTCAGTCAAAGTGAAAACTAATTAAGTACTCTTACTTTGTTTTGAGAAGACGTATCAAGTCTGTCAAACCGCACGTAGTCAGCTTGGTGAACTATAACTATAACATAACCTGATCTCTTCTGCGTTTTAGTGTTAAAAAGAACTAAATATAATAACTTAATATGGTAAATTATTTACAAAAATAAAAACCCACTGCGCAAAAAGCTAACTAAAAAGATGAAAACATGTTGACGAAGGAACATAGTATTATGCAGTCAGACACATATATATGTACAAGTTTTATAATAGCTGCGTGTGTGATTATGACCTAAAGTATCACTTAGACTTAATGTTAGGTACCCAGAACGGAGCAAAACTATAAAAATAACTTATTAAAACTATTTTAAAAATTAATTAACAACTAGAGTAAAAAATAAAAACAAATTTATCCCAACGGGAACCGTACATTTTTCTGGGATAAAAATAGCCTATGTGCTATTCCAGATTATCTCTATCACTATGCCAAATTTCATCCAGATCCGTTCAGTCTTTCTGGCGTGATTGGGTAAAAACATCCATCCATCCAAACTTTCGCACTTGTATAGTTGTAAGATTATTTCCTTAAAATTCGATAGTTTATGTTTGTTGTGTAAAATTTAAAATAAACATATTTTTAGGAACTTCCCTATACCTAATATGTGATAAAATTTTAATATATAGCTGAAAATGACAATTAAATGGCTTTCCCAATATTTTCGTATAGCGTCAGCGATAACGAGGCGTGAAGCACAAAAGCATTCCTGGTTACATCGATATGTTGATGTACAGAGGAATGCTTTATGTTTAGAACTTCTGCTGTCCAAAATTTTATGGAACCGTTAAATGTTTTACCTCTGGAACTTCAATTAAACTAGATACTATGTATTATTTAAGCTTTGAGGTATAAAATATGTAGAAGTAAAATATGTAGGCAGTGGTAGCCCAGTGGTAACGCGCTCGCTTGGGAAACCGAGTGAAGCGGGTTCAAATCCTGGGTCTCGCACCTCTGATATTTTCATGTGCGAATTATTTCTAACATAATTACCACTTGCCTTACGGCGAAAGAAAACATCGTGAGGAAACCTACATGTCTGAGAGAATGTAACAAGTTTTCGAAAAACATGTGAAGTCCGCCTTGAGTCCGATGAGTTATATACACACAAAAATTACTTTTTTGTTTGTCTACGTATATGATTATCATGTTCTTTTGTAATATTTAATGCTTTTTTGACCAAAATATAGACCAAAATTTAAAAATGAATGTGTGTATGTATGTTCCCTATGGACTCCAAAACGGTTCGAGGAATTTTGATGAAATTTTCTGGAAATCTTTAGATTAGGTTAGTCGGTTACTGCTAGTTTACTTTATACTTTATAGTGGGTACTGCTAATTTTATTTAAAAAAATAAACATGTATCGAAACTTACATTACAGAGTATGAACTGTCAGAATCTATATAAAATAATTAGGACCAGTTAAAAATTTAGATGTATATATCTGAGCATCACTTTTTACTTGAGTTGATCTTTACTAATACAACTTATTTAGAGTACACTGGCTCTTAGGCTATAAAAAAGGGTGCTTAATATTTTCGCTGATAATAAATTTGAGTTGACAGGCGGGACATTCTTCATTAACTTCGGATAGCCTGATAATGAGCGCTTTGTAAAAGATACTTGTTAATCACAGTTTTCAGTACGGAAATTAAACAATGAAAAATTTAGTATGATCCTTTCTAATCTCGGATAAATCTCAACTTTGATTACGTAAATCTGTTTAATCTTACCAAGACTGTGAAAAGAAATGGTTCATTTTGATTATTTTTCGAGCTAAATTCTTCAGGGTATATAGTCTCCACGACCGCTAACACGCCGGCGTGTCAGTTAACAATAGATTTCTTAGAATTAGAAATTTACCTGGATGTGATAGAGAGTTGGTAGGTATATGTATAAAGTAAATTAGCAGTACCCACTATAAAGTATAAAGTAAACTAGCAGTAACCGACTAACCTAATCTAAAGATTTCCAGAAAATTTCATCAAAATTCCTCGAACCGTTTTGGAGTCCATAGGGAACATACATACACACATTCATTTTTAAATTTTGGTCTATATTTTGGTCAATAAAGCATTAAATATTACAAAAGAACATGATAATCATATACGTAGACAAACAAAAAAGTAATTTTTGTGTGTATATAACTCATCGGACTCAAGGCGGACTTCACATGTTTTTCGAAAACTTGTTAGATTGGTAAAAATGCTTATGTGCTAATTTAAAACATAAACTATTTCCATGTCAAACAAACCGGTGAGCTGTTGCAGAAATGTTGGTATTTGTAATAGGTAATATTAATAATGTCCTTCTGGCCCATTTTGATTATTACGATTAAACTATAATTCGACGTGATTGGTGAGAGATCAGGCGCAGGACCGACGGCTTTACATACTCTTCAGGGCGCGGGGACTGAAACACCGCCAACTTCCCAACTCCGGGTTGTTACTGGGACGTTTTTAACAGAAACACTTAATAAACTTAGCCTGACTCAGGACTCGAACCCAAGACCTCCATATAACAAGCCGTACATGTTAGTTATTACACCACAGAATCGATAATTATTAAAATAATAATATCTATTATATTAATATAATTTATATTAATTAATCTCCGGATGAGATCGGGCTACCACAAACGACGACTCGACCTGGCAACACTAAACACGCGCACACTGCGGACCGACGAGAGGATTGCTGAACTTGAGGAAGAATTGAGCAGGTTACGATGGGATATTGTGGGGTTATCGGAGGTTCGAAGAGAGGGTGAGAACGCGATAACGCTCAAATCTGGTAACCTGCTCTATTTCCGGGAAGGCGACCAACAGTCCTAGGGCGGTGTCGGGTTTATAGTCCACAAGTCTCTCGTGAACAACGTGGTAACTATCGGGAGCGTGTCGACCAGGGTGGCGTACCTTGTTCTGCGAATAACGAAACGTTATTCCTTAAAAGTGGTTCAAGTGTATGCCCCGACCTCAACACATCCTGATGAGGAGGTGGAGTCTATGTATGAGGACATTAGTAGAGCCATACATAGCTCCAAAACCCACTTCACCATAGTCATGGGAGACTTCAACGCGAAATTAGGCGAACGAGAAGGGTTTGAGCTGAGAGTGGGGCAATTTGGATTTTGATGTCGAAACCAGCGGGGACATTCACTTGCGGGCTTCATGGAGAAGGAGGGACTCTTCATGATGAACTCCTTTTTCAAGAAAAGAAACCACAGGAAGTGGACGTGGATGAGCCCTGATGGTGCAACTAAAAACGAGATAGACTTCATCATGTCGACGAAGAAGCAAATATTCAGTGATGTCTCTGTGATCAATTCGTTCAAAACTGGAAGCGATCACCGACTTGTAAGAGGCACATTAAATATTAGTGTAAGGCTTGAACGGTCTCGACTGATGAAGTCCACGCTCCGACCAGCGCCACACCAAATTCAAAACCCCGAGAGCTTTCAGCTGGAGCTGAAAAACCGCTTCGATTGCCTAGACAGTGATGTGGACACTTATAATGACGGGTTCGTGGAAGCTGTCCAATCAGTTGGGTCTAAGCACTTTAAAAGTCTCTCAAAAAATAGACCCAAAAGGATCTCCGATTCTACTCTAGAGCTCATGACGGAAAGGAGAGGGATGATCTTGCAGTCGCCGGATGATGCGTTCAAGTACCGGCAACTTAATAGACAGATTTCTAAGTCCCTAAGGCGTGACCTTCGCACCTATAATACTGAGCGTATTATAGACGCAATAGAGCGGAACAAAGGCTCCAAAGTTTTCGCGAGGGATCTGTCTATTGGACAAAGCCGGCTAGTGAAGCTCAAAACCGATGACGGTAGGATCATTTCATCTAGTCCCGAGATTATGGGAGAGATCGAGAGATTTTATGGGCAGCTCTTCACATCAACGCGACAACCCATTAGTCTGGACAACGATCCAAGGGCCAGACTAACCCGACACCATACCGAAGAAATCCCGGACGTCAGCCTGAGCGAGATTAGGGTGGCTCTCAAACAGCTCAAGAACAACAAGGCACCGGGTGCAGATGGAATTACGGCCGAACTTCTGAAGGCGGGTGGAGAACCGATCCTTATGGCCCTTCAGAAGTTGTTTAATTCCGTCATACTCCAAGGAAAAACCCCACGAGCATGGAGCAGAAGCATAGTGGTACTGTTCTTTAAAAAGGGCGATAATGCCTTGCTAAAGAACTACAGGCCCATATCGCTTCTGAGCCATGTCTACAAGCTGTTTTCGAGAGTTATTACGAACCGTCTTGAATGCAGGTTTGACGACTTCCAGCCTCCCGAACAAGCTGACTTCCGTAGAGGTTTTAGTACCGTAGACCACATTCATACGCTGCGGCAGGTTATACAGAAGACCGAAGAGTATAACTTGCCTCTTTGCTTGGCGTTTGTGGACTACGAAAAAGCCTTTGATTCGATCGAGACTTGGGCTGTGCTGCAGTCTCTCCAGCGGTGCCAAATCGACCACCGGTATACCGAAGTGTTGAAGTGTTTGTATGAAAACGCCACTATGTCAGTCCGTCTCCAGGAGCGGGACTCGAGACCCATCCAATTGCAGCGAGGAGTACGACAGGGTGATGTCATCTCGCCGAAATTGTTTACCGCTGCATTGGAAGATGTCTTTAAGATCCTGAAATGGAACGGACTAGGCATCAACATTAACGGCGAGTACATCACTCACCTTCGGTTTGCCGACGATGTAGTGGTTATGGCTGAGACCATGGAGGACATCAGTATAATGCTCAATGACCTCAATAGTGTCTCCGAACGAGTTGGTCTAAAAATAAACATGGATAAGACGAAAATTATGTCAAATGTCCATGTTGCAACCACTCCAGTTTATATCGGTGATTCTATGCTCGAAGTTGTAGACGAGTATGTATACCTGGGACATACTGTCCAGCTAGGTAGGTCCAACTTCAAGAAAGAGGTCAATCGACGGATCCAACTCGGATGGGCAGCCTTCGGAAAACTACGCAACATCCTCTCGTCCCGAATACCGCAGTGTCTCAAGACAAAAGTCTTCGACCAGTGTGTGTTGCCAGTAATAACATACGGCACAGAGACGTGGCCGCTCACGATGGGCCTCATAAGAAAGCTCAAGGCCATACAGAGAGCAATGGAAAGGGCTATGCTTGGGGTTTCCCTGCGAGATCGAATTAGAAATGAGGAGATACGCAGAAGGACCAAAGTCACCGACATAGCCCTCAGAATATCCAAGCTCAAGTGGCAGTGGGCGGGGCACATCGCTCGTAGAACGGACGGTCGTTGGGGACGGAAAGTTCTGGAGTGGCGGCCACGTACCGGAAGGCGAAGCGTGGGTAGGCCTCCCACAAGGTGGACCGATGACTTGGTCAAAGTCGCTGGAGTCCACTGGATGCGGATGGCGCAAGACCGGTTGTCGTGGAAATCTTTGGGGGAGGCCTATGTCCAGCAGTGGACGTGTTTGGGCTGAGACGACGACGAATATATTTATATACGATTCAGACCTTTTAATATTCAAATATACTTAGAATAAATCAGCCCCTATAAGTTTGAATAACCCTACTTTAATACTAATTTCGAAACAAACACCCGCATGTACCGTACACATATTTGCCTACCGATGCATACTAACTCCGAATACGTCATAACTAAAGTCATACTTTCCAGTTCGCCAATAAGACTGCAATATCCGATATTAAAATGGTAAAAATAAGGATAAAAATATTTAGTACGAACACAGGTGAAGCCATTCTGGCAAAGTATGGACGTGGGTCAATTCGCCCGATAAAAATACACTATCAAAGCGTGTGGAACTCCGAAAGAATGAAATATGTTACGTGTTCTTCATAACTTTTGTTGGCATGAAGATGCGATACTAAATGTTTTTTTTTTTATTTTTTTTATGACATTATACATGAAGAAACTACCTTAAATATTTACTTTTTTAAATTACTAAAAAAAGCTATTTGCTACTATCTAAGCTATTATTATAAGCTAGACTTCTGTCAATTATCCTGTAACATATTTAAGGTACCTACACTATTTCGATGTTAAGCAGATGTACTTAGGTAGGAAATTGGTAATACTACACTACCTCGTAGAGTTAGTGTCCTTTTCAGTCAGATTGCCATCCCTTGGGAGACCGCAGGAATAGTGAAATGTTCGCCTCCAGCCTTTAAAAACAAGTCTCATTAAGATATTTCATCCAAAACAAAAATTTATCAAGAAAATAATACTTTCTTAGATTTATGGGAATATTTTACAATTTAAATAAAACTATCTTTTCGTTTTTTTGGCGAATTTATTTAGATTTTTGGTTCCCGACGTTTCTTTACAGCAATTATGGTTACAAATCATGGTCCAAAAATCAAAATAAATCGCGAAAAAATCTAAAAAGATAATTTTATTTAAAATTTATCGAGAGTACACGACTTATAAGTTTTAATTCGATTTTTTATTGAATGCTTGCAGTTCTGACGGAGGAGCCGAGGTTTGCGGAGCCCATCCCCAATGTTACGGTTGCACTCGGACGTGACGCCAGCCTGCCATGCGTGGTCGAACATCTTGGCACTTACAAGGTACTATTTTAATATTTTTACATTAATATAGTTTTTCTCTGTTATTTCTAAAGAGCAGCAAGAACTGCTGAAACTAATTTGATGGAATTTTTATAAAGTCTGTATGAAAAGTTACGTTAAATATTATAACGATTACAATCAAGTAAATATAAATATTTATATAGGTTTTCATAGAAAATCACGTTTTAGGATTATGAAATGTCAACAATATACAGACAGAAGCTGGTGTTAACACAACATGTTTTACTCAAAAACAAACAATTTTGTAAATTTCTACATAATTCTTTCAATTTAAAAGCACTTGCACGCAATCTTGGAAACCACATATCTAGTACCACTCTTCTAGTAGAACAGACTCTTTAAACATTCCAATACGACCATAAAAACGATAACATCGCATAACACAGTATATACTCTAAAATTGCACTGAACAAAGAAAACACGCTTCTAAAATCCAGTATTCGACTTCCAACATATGCATTTTAAATGTAAAAAGTTACCCTCGTTTATTCGAACGAAAAATGGAGACAAGCGTACTATATCGGTATTTCGAGCTGCAAATTTCCTCGACAAAAAACATAAAGTGGTACTGTATCTTTCTAATCTCGAGCGAGTGTTTCGGCCTAAGTTACGAGTGGTCTGGAATAGAGACGCGTTTTGATAGTGAATTTATATAGTGTGGAGGCGGCAGATATAGCATACTATTTATTGGATCTAATAAAAAGGTCGATTTTAATACTGAATGAGATTTACTGTTGAATTATCAGTTATTTTTTCAGGATAAAGATTGGTTCCTTGTGAACAGTAAAGGTATATTTTTATATCGCTGTGTTTTGTTATATATTTTGTAGTAAAATTTCTTGCTAGTAAAGTTAGTATCAGCTTTTAGGATAAAGAAAAGTGAGTCAGTTATCTCTCTACGAGTATTTCCAAGTATCTAATAATAATAATTTATGTATGTTTGTCCTTTTACGAAACAACAAAATGAAAAATGATTTTTTATACAGAGATAGCTTATGAGCTTAAGTATGACAAAGGCTTATACATCAAGAGATTTCTACGGATTAACCGAATTTTGTAAAAATGTAAAGACGCCGTACTCCCGCGCTTTTATTTTATGATATTTCTTAGATAAGGTAGTGAAACTTAATTTCGTATAGTATGACTAATATAAACATCCCATATGTAAATTGACCCCTTTACCTTCGCCGGAGTAAATATTGCCAACCAGGTATACGGTGACTACTTGAAAACAGTCTTCGTGATAAGAGATGCTGAATTTATTCGACTTACCGCTTTCCTGAAGCCATTTTAGCTTTGTTGTCTATTTATTAAGAAAAGAAAATTATATTACAACTTTGTAAATAGTATACAATATTCTATTACAAGCTTATTGTTGCCTATAAATAAAATTTATGTATATCGCTGTGAAATTCAACATATTATATAGAGGTGCTATTACTTTATATTGAGTATATACAAATATGTGTAATATAATTTATCTACTAACATAAAGATAAGTTTGATTCATCATATTAAAATATTTTACCAGGCACTAAATAATATAGTCTAATTGATATAGGCTACTTTCTGTGTCCCCCCCAACGTGCGTTCACCTTGTCGTGGTGGGGGGGGCTCAGTAGTGCCCGGCAATCCAACCGGGCGCGAAGCTAAGAAACGCACAGGGAGGTTGCCCACTTCGGTGGGCGGTGGGAGGTGGCCCTCTTTGGGGGGCGGTGTACCATGCGGGTTGCTCCTGGTACTTCTCTGATAGCAGAGTGGACCTTGGAGCAACCCCATGGTTGTGGTGGTCTGCTTCGGCAGACCTGCCGTCGGGGCGTCGTAGTTGAATGCGTAAGCGATCCTGCGACGCCCCATTAAGACGGGGGAAGGTTTCGTTGGGTTTTAGTGGATAGTACTCGCTGTATTACGCCGGTGAGTCCCACACGTCGTGCATAAATGCATTTCCCAACGTTAAAAAAAAAAAAAGGCTACTTTCTGTGTCAAAAAAAAGTAATCGGTATAAAGACAAAGAAGACGGGCTTAAGCGGTTTTATATAGACTTTCAATATAAAGTTGAGGAAATGTTCGGATGACCTATAGTAATATTATATTTTATTTCAATTATTTATTATATTTTTTATATAATAAATAATTGAAATAAAATATAATATTACTATAGGTATATAGGATAGAGGGACAAAATTGAGATTTTACGAGTTTTTTAGTACGGGTGTAATGACATAAATACACAATTACACGAAAGACAACCGCTATGGCGACATTTAGGTGGTACATTCTATCTATCCGGTAGTATTTTTTTGTACTTACTTCGACTTTATTAAGCGGAATATCCAGAGCTTTCAATGTTCATACTTCATAGATAATTAAAGCGGGAAAAGGAAGAACACGAGATAAAAAGTTGCTTCGGCCTTCCTGTCTAACCTGCAAAGTAAAAAAATACAGATATCTATTAAAAAAAACATTTAAAAAATGTAAAATCACAAAACATATTTATTGAAAATAGCACTTCAAATGAAATATTTAAAAGAAATTACTATACAGTGTAAAATAAAATAAACAGTGCTAATATATGTGTAAATTTGTATTTATGGGTGAATAATTTGTTATTCTTTCACGCTGTATCGGCTTGACAGATTTTGATGAAATTTAATAAACAAATAAATTATAAGCTGAAGATTCATAAAGTATCCTATTTACACAAAGGCAGAGAATCACTCGAGCGAAGTAAGGGTAAGTCGCTAGTACAAAAAGAATCATGTCAGTAATAGCTTAAAGAAAAGCTACAAAGTATTTCTACGTTTCCTTATTTCAATAAACATCGAACGTTAGATAAGATGCAAATTATACACTAAAACTGAACGAAATTTTCATAAAATTATAGAGTATTTCTTTCATTACATGGTTCCACAGTAAGCGTTCACGCGGCCTTAGGTTTAGCAAAATAGGTTGATGTGAATCTAAAATATAATGTAATTTTCTTATCTCGAAGCGCTTCTGAATGTGAGGTTATGACAGTTATATATAAGACAATTTAGTGTTTTCGAGAATAGATGAACCTTTATATTTGTATAAGGATTATTGTCGTTGTAACAAAATAAAAAATAAAAAAGTCCGTGACACGCACTTAACGTACATACATATAAGTATAAAATAACTCTATTTATTTATTTAAGGGAAACAAACAGTACAGTGTTACATAAATAATATATAATAATACAACACAGTATAAACAATGAACAACTAAAACAAAAAACAGAAAACAATGCAGAAAACAATGAACAACTTAAACAAAAAACAAAAATTAAATATTAAAAAATAAAAAAACAAAACTTATTAAAATTAATTATAAAAAGTACTTAAAAACATTAAATACATAAAACACAAAATTAAAATTTATACAATAAACGATTAATATTATTTTGAAGCTTGTGAGAGAATTTGAAAATATGTCTATACTTCTAAATTTTTTATTGTACTCATTACATGAACGATGTATAAAAATATTTAATGTACGTGATACTGTTTATTTCTTATGAAACTTGCTATAATTTACACTTAATATTATATATTTTTGTTCAAAAAACTCGGATATATCAAAAACATCTATTTTTGCTCGGATAATTCCTTACACCTGTGACCCCTATTACTTTCAAATGTCACACAAGATTGATCGACATATTACTTTCAAGTGTCACAATGTGAGTATATCGCTGTATAATTAATTATAGATACCTTTACTTAATAATGGCAATGGTAGCCCAGTGGTAACGCGCTCGCTTGGGAAACCGAGTGAAGCGAGTTCAAATCCCGGGTCTCGCACCTCTGATATTTTCATGTGCGAATCATTTCCAACATGATTACCATTTGTCTTAACGGTGAAGGAAAACATCGTGAGGAAACCTGCATGTCTGAGAGAACCTAGCAAGTTTTCGAAAGACATGTGATGTCCGCCAACCCGCACTTGGCCAGCGTGGTGGACTGTGGCCTGATTCCCCTCGTACTGAAGGGAGGCCCGTGCCCAGCAGTGGGACGTTAAAAAGGGCTGAATACACATACATACACACCTTTACTTAATAACATCCTTCTGAGTCTCGTTGAGTTTCTTTCGTCAGTTCTTCTCAGGTTTGAGACTTCTTAAAATTATATTCTTCTTTCGTTTAGTAAATAGTAAATAGTTTATTGCAATAATTTAATTCTGAATATAATATTTTGAATTTGTTAAAAGTCGTATAGTACCAGCGATTTCTAAAACGGTTTTTATGAGTCTTTGAATTCGGATAGCTTAATATGCTTGATGATATAAGATTAATTATACTTATTGGGTTATGGACTTAAATGAAACGAAACACTTCACTTTTAAATAGACTTTATATATTTGAACTTTATAATTAACACTAGGAAGGTATCACACAACCGAATATTTACACTTTGAGAGACAGACGTTAACAGAACAGAAATAGCAAAGTTACGCAGTTTAAATACGCTTAGCCAATTTTAGTCATAACAACTACTTATTTAATTAAGATTCATTTTTGAATATTAAATTGAAGTTAATAATACCAACACGCCCCCTCAAAAATTAATCGGTAACATATTATTTACATATAAGATCATAGAAACCTTCCTAATGCTTCCCTGGGAGTATTAAAATCATTATGGTCCAACATTTGTTGCTAAGGGCCAGGAAAACCCAGGAAAACCTGACCAGACCATATAATCACAAAAAAAAATAATTACAAAGACAACATTTGTAAAATTAGTTAACAATTTGTAAATATAAAAAAAAAACAAAAATATAATGGTTATTCTAAACCCATATTCAACCTTAATTGTTGAAAAGCAACTGCTGGAAGTGGCTTAGTCAGTGCATCTGCTAATTGCTGACCTGTTGGAATATAATTTAATTTTATTATATTTCTTTCAATCTGTTCCCTAGAAAAATGGTATTTTATATCAATGTGTTTGGATCGTTTATG